CCACAAGCACCATTCCTTATGGGGATGAATGGTTATGAAAACCAATACCCCAGTAAAAGAAAAGAAAAAAAGGTTCTCCCAATCCCAAAGTACCAAGCCCCAGTCCTAGGTCAATATACCAGTCAGATCTTACTCACAAATCACGTTGTTGCCACTCCTTTAGAATCTAAAATCTAAAAGTTTATTCATAAAAAGAAAGAAATATAGATGAGTTAAAATTGGTTAAATAGAATAAAATACATACAACAATTGCAAAGTTCTTAGTTCGGGCTTGTTTCAGGCTTGATGGGATTACTGCTGATTTAAACCAATCAAGTCTCTGGAGTACAAACACCCCAGCTTGGATGGGTCGTTCAGTCCTTTGTTCAGAGCTTCAGGTTCAAGCACAGTTTCTCCAGAGGTCAGAAGCAGGATTGAAGACAAAATGGAGGGGTTTCCAGGGCCTTTTATATCCTCTGCCATGGAATGACCCCTTTGTTCTTACAGTGGAAAATCACAGCAGCAAGATGGAGTTTGGAGTCACATGGGCAAGTCACATGTCCATGCCTGACTCAGTTTGCAGGCAGCAGCCATTGCTCACATGCTACCTTGAACGTTCCCAGGAAGGCTCCTCAGATGTGGATTGGAGTCTCCCAAGGTCCATTGTCAGTTACGTGGTTCTTGATTGGGCATTTACTCAGAATAGTCCTTTTTCAAGAAGTTGACCAAATGCTTCACTGATAATCAAACACATTGAGATGCAAGTACATAGCCAATATTCATAACTTCAAATACAAAAATGATACACACATACAGACAGCATAATCATAACCAGCAAATTACAACCTTTTCATAGACACCTCACTTGACCTCCTTTGTACAAGATTTGGTGCAACTATAGGACCTTGGTTGCAACAATGATCTATCTGATCACAGTTCATGTCAATAACGTCACACACCTCTTCTCCAATCTTTAGGACAAATCTCCTTTTCCCAAACCATTCTTTACAACTTGCACAAATAAATCACAATCACTTCCTCTCTAGTTTTTAACTTTTCAGCATCTATCTTATCACAGTTTGGTGCTTTACCACTCTTCAGGTGGTTTATGGTCTCAGTTACTGCCTCAATGGCGATTACTTCTAGTCATACAGGTAAGTCTGCTATTTTGCAGATATCTCAGTGTGTGGTTCTGACTGGCTGAGCATAGCCTGGAGATGTTCCAGCCAATGGGGCTCTCTGTCCTTCGTCTGAAGTTAAAATTGTACCATCTTGAACCTTCACAATGCCACTACAAGGTTCAAGAGTTGCCATGTGAGTTTTTTAGATACTAGCAAAAGCTTTTTAGAATCCCCTTCCTTGTCACCTCTTCAGCTTCTCTGGCTTAATTTTCCATCCATTCTCTTCTGGCTGATCTTTTAACTTCCTTGTCTTTGTCCACATATTCTTGTGGCAGTATTGTGGCTGTCTTGTTCTTGTTGAATTCTTTTCTTTAATTCTTTCCTCTCTTCATGTAATTATTTGGAGCCATTCTTTCTGAGACTTTCTCATCCCCATTGTAGTTCTGGCTGCATTCACACTTACTTCTTTGAAAAATTGCCATTGTTCTTTTGTGTCTTCCATCAGTTTCTTTTAACTCTTCAGATCTATCTATTGCTAAGCTGCAGGTTGAAATACACCTTCACTGGTTGATCTGCTAACTTTCTGGTAACATACACATACCTTCTGCTTTGCATGAAGTTGCCTTCTTTAGTTTTATTTTTGATTGTCTCAATAACAAGATGGTTGTCATTTCTGACATCAGCATTAATATACACCCTAGAGTTCAACAGCGAGCTTCTCCAGTACCTATTAACAGTAATATGGTCAAGCTGTTTGTGGGTGAAGCCATCATTTGATCTCCATGTCAGTTTATGTCTGTCTTTGTGTGAAAATAGTGTACCCCCCAGTGCAAAGATTGCACAGGTCACAGAGTTCAACAAAATGTTCTCTATTGTCAGTCTGTCCTGGGATGCCATGTCTGCCCATAATGCTTTCATATCCAGTATTATCGTCACCAACCTGTGCATTTAGATCTCCCACAAGGAAACAGTGTCATATTTATTGATCTTCCAAGGATGCTCTGCAATCTTTCATAGAAATAGTCTGTTCATTGCTATTGTCTGTTGGTACTGAACAATTGTGAGTTGCATGGTTCATCACAAAGCAAGCAGTCAATATTCCTGACTCTATAGGTTTCAATTCCTTCAGTGCTTTAGCAGCTTCCTTGCAAAATAATAAGGCTGTACCTTCCCAGTATTTGTCATTCTCTCTTCCAGAATATAAAGCCATCACGCCCTCTGACAATAATTTGTCTTGTCTAGTCCACCTCATCTCAGTCAGGACAGGTATACTTAGGCCAAAGATTTTCATTTCTCTGATAACTTGTGTCATTCTGTCTGTGCTTCAAAGTGATCTAACATTCCAACACCCAATTCTTGCCTTAATCTCAGCTGTGAAGCTACCTTATTTCAGATGAAGAACTTCCTTGCAGCTTTGATTCTCCATCATCCTAGCATCAGCTGGACTTGCTGGTTGACCAGTACTATCTTGTCTTACATCCAACAGATCATGGTTCTCCACAGTTGATGATTGTATTTGCAAATCTGTGACAGATGCGGCTTGTCTCTCTGGCTTGTTTCCATAACAGAAAGCATTTTTGCATGGACAGGTTGTTAGCCTGACACACAATCCTTACCAGGAGGACACCACAGAAGGCAATCCAATGCTTAGTGAATCCAAAGTTCTTCACTACACTATTGGCTGATCTCCAGTGCCACCCTTCTATTTTTTTCACTTGCTCTTGCTAACATAAGACTGTCTGAATAATCTGCATCAGTACCATCTTGCATATAATGAACCTGTGCCAGTGCTCCCTTAATGAGGGAATATGTTGGTTGGAAAGCAGATTCCCTTATTAGTTAAAGAAAACAGTATAAAGGATGGGATTTAGCTGAAGTGATTTAAGCCTTGATCCTGCAACTACATCTGAAAGGGAGGACACATTCTTACATGTGGATGGACTATTTCTAAATCTCTGTTAAGGAAGATAAAAGTACATGAAAAATTACCCCTGGTTAAACCACCCAAAACAATTCTTCTCCCCACCTTGATTTCTACGTATAGAAAGTTAACATGTGCCCCCTCATCACCTCATACTAATTGGCCAAGAATTAATTAGCCTACACTGGCCAAGCTCTTTGTTGTTTAATCTTTCCTCACAAGTCAGTCCCTCCAGACCCTTAGTCTGTTTTATTGCCCTTCTCTAAATTCTTTCTAACTTCTTGTCTTTCTGGTTCTGAGGTGTTAATTATCTCTATTATTGAATGACCAACAGCCTCATTCTTCAGACTCACATAGCTATGATATTTGTCCCAAAGAAAAGTGAATACAGGTGTTTGGGGGTTTTTGCTGCCATACTGCAGTGCAAACACTTATCTCATTTTACTATCACCTCTATTGGTCTCTTGTGCTATTACTGCTTCCCAGCTATCTCCATTTCATTGAATATATATATCTATAGATATCGATATATATATATGTTTCAGGTTATTCTTACTGGTTGCTGTTTGCATATTTTCCCAGCTGGCTCCCATTTTGATATGCCTTGCCCATATTCCTATCTCTTCTGTTCCCTTTGCATTGTTTATGTTCTCATAGATGTTTTCAACAGCACCCAGTCTAGTTTAATCTGTAAATGGTAATGTTCTATTTATTAAAGATCTCAGAAGTATCAAGATGTTAAATAATCAGGGTTAACAGTGGTCCCTGTGGAATCCCATAAATAACCGAAAAGCAGTAATGCCAGAAACCACTAATGAGGGCAGGGGTGAACAGAGTGAATTAATTCTAGATTGTGATATGGCAATATGTGAGCAAACATACTGTCAGAGACCAGCTGGTGATAAGCCCCCTCTGTGGCACTGGTGAGATTGCAGCTAGAATGCTGCATTCAGTTCTGGGCACCTCCAAACTTTGTCTGTAATTTGGAGGAAATTCAAAGGACAGCAACAAAAATAATTAAGTGGTTGGAGGAACTGAAGTAAGGAAAGTACTTTGGCTGAAGTATCATTAATTGGAGGAGGAGATGTAGCCTTGTAGCATCTGACGGACCTGAACACCGAAGAGAGAGAGCCTTTATTCAATGGTGGCATAACTGGGAAGAAACTGAATATCATAGAAAACTTACTGCTGTCTTTATCTGGAGCAGCAACTGCCCTGACTGCTTGTGGACACTAAAGAACTTGTTTTGTGTAGATGTATGATCTTTGGTGTCCTGGCTAAATTTCAACTTAATTCACATTATGCCTCATCTAAACTCTTCCTGCTGTATCAGAGGGAGATAGTATTCATTTGTGGTGTTAATGTTTGCCCTTAAAGGAAATCTGCATCTCGCCCCAGGGTGACTGTTTCAGCAGCATATTAAGTCCTTTACCTTTACCTGCATTTCAGTGATGTGTTAAAGTCTTTATCCACTGGGGCATCCTTTATTTACCCTACATTGTGCTTTGAAATTCTCCTTCTGAAAGGTGCTAAAATAGAACATAATATTATTAAAACAATGGGTAATGCTTAGCACTGGAAGCACTTAGTGTTTGTAATGCATTATGAAAAAAAAAACCTACTAGGCTAGTGCAAACCTCACCCTTAAAACTGCACTGGGCAAGGCCCTGGAGAACACTCTCAAGGGGACACTCCTGGACTGGACTAGCCCTTCTACCTCCAACTTCTATGTTTGTGTTATTAAAAAACCAAAACAAGCAACCCTTGAATGAGCAGCTCTGGCTTTTCCCGCAGCTGAAGAGGCTGCCACTGCTGTATGAGACTGACACCAATATCTGCTGCTGCTGCTGAATGGATCAGGGAGGGAAAAGGGGGGGTGGGGAGTGGAGAGGAGGAGGTAGGTATCATGTGATTCGCTTTCCTGCTCCTTTAAAGCAGCCACATGCAGCCGAGTACCGGCCACAATCACAGCACTCAGCAGAGGGGGAGCCAGATCCGGGCGTGCCTGGGCAATCTGTGCTGAGTCTGTCTCCTTTCCATCCCTGCAGCACTTTCAGAGCCTTAAGTTTTGCAGTGAGAGAGAAGTGGGGCGGAAATCTCTGCAAAAATGGCTGGGGCAATTATAGAAAACATGAGCACTAAAAAGCTGTGCATTGTTGGAGGGATCTTACTGATTTTCCAAGTCATCGCTTTTCTAGTGGGAGGTCTGATTGGTAAGTGTTAAAGGTGCAAACTTTCTCCTTCGCTCTGTCGTGTTGTTTAGCTACTTGTTACTGTATCACTGCCTTGCTTCTATGATCTAATTAGTCCTGCTATTGTAGTTAAGAAAACATAGCTCCGCGGGTCTCTTTGTGCACATTTCACTCTAGTGACTACAAGAAAAGAAGGGGCAGGGAAAAGTTTTTTTGGCCTAGTTTCAGTGTCTGCTCAAAGAACGAGGAAGGGGGAGAAAATCTTAAGCATGGCGACTGATCGTGCATGGAAGTGTTGTGTTACAAAGTTTTGTTTTGTTTTTTTTCTCCTTACCTTCAACCCTTTTCTCTCTTTGAACCGGCTGCAGGAGGAAATCTAATCTCCTTCAATTAAAAAAAAAAATCAATGAGAGCTGCTCTAGCAGAGGAAAGGAACGTTTTTATTGTCTCTAATTTGCGGTGTTTTGTATTTAGATCACTGTTTACTTTATTCTCCAACAATCTCCTGTTTTAGGTGGTATTTCAGCCTGAGGGGCTTTTTGGGGGGGAGGCGTTCCTAACATAATGGGAGGGGGGTGATGTGAGCTTTCAGCAAAGCTGGAGTGAGTGGGAGAGACTTTTGGGTGGCCATGGCAGCAAGTTCTGCTCCTAGCTTTGTGCTTTAAAGATTTTTCTCACCCATCCTCTTCTTCTAGCCCAGAAAGGGGGGGTGGAGGGGGAGAAACCTCCTCTGATCCTGCTTGAAGAAGCTTGAGACTGATTTTTTTTGTTTTGTTTTGGTTTTTTTTGTTTTTGCTTGTGAAAAGTTCTCTGGTTATTGCTTATGGGCTTGGAAACACTCCCTTCCCCGAATGTGTATTGTGACCACTGCCTCCACTCTACCTCCTTGTTGATACCCTGCGGGTAAGAGATGCTGTGATGGGCTCCGCAGACTTCCCATTAACTAGATCTTTTTCTTGCTCCCTTTGTTAATGAAGTGCCTGTGGCTGCAGCTTCCCAGAGTCTAGCCACTTTCCAAAATTTGCTTTCTGGTGGAAGCCAACTGGTCCATACTTTTCAGCAGCACCAAGCTTTCCTGCACCTGTGCAAACTCTCCGGGGTAAAATGTTAGAGCCACCGATTTTTTTTATTTTTTTTTAATATATATTTTTTACCTTGAAGGGGGCAAGTTTGTTTCACTACAAAATCTTTATGGAAGTGCTGACATAACTTGTAATCCTCTTTGCCCCCATATTCTCATTCAGTGCCTATTGTCTAACTTATCCTGTCTGTGATGGCTGTGATTTTGTTGGGGGGGGAGAGTTGCTGAGGGAGATCCCAGAGTTTGGACAGTCCTGGAGGTATGAACTGTACATAGGAATAGTGCCAGAAAGCAGTTTCGTGGGTGGTTTTACTACCTAAGGTGTCAGTTCCTTGCACAGCCACTATAGCATCCAGACAAATATTATCTGTGTCTTGATAAATGGAGGAGGTGGTGGTGGCAGCAGCAGCATCTCCTAGGAGAAACTTTGCCCCAAACCAGGCGAACTATAGAATCCTCTAAAATCCTTCCTTTTTTGTCCCTTTCTATGAGGTGGAAATTATCCCACAAACTAGACAAGTATTTATCCACCACATTTCTATGTACAGTTACTCAGGGCTCTGATGTGAGTGATGGCACTGGCTAAGATTATCTAACAGACACCATTTGCTCATGGTTGCTGTAAGGATTTTAATTATGGCTAGTCACAAATCCAACATCTCTTACTTTAGGAATAAAGCGGGGTTATTACCATACCTGACCTTTACCAATCCGTCTCATTTCCTTTTATAGCCTATGAACCAATGATCTATCTACACCCCTAAGAGCAGATCCATTGTGTCTTGGTATGCAAGAACACCTTGACTTTCTAGAACACTTATATTTGAGAATCCTTAAGTGTCCTACAAACATAACCTGCAGCACCCCATGAGGATTTTTACAGCTTTTGTAGAAATGAGGCATAGACCCTTACTGATTTGGGCAAGGTCAATCACACAGGATGTCTGTGGCAGACCTGGAAAGATCTGGTATTATTTCAGTCCTGTGTGCTTGAATCACAAAAGGGTAACATTACAGAGAAAGGGCTAACGATCCAGACTCCCATGCCTCTTAAAAGCTCTGCTCTGGTTTAAGCATAAGTTATTGGGCTAGATGCCTCAATCACTCTGTGAAATTCTATGGCCTTTGTCATGCAAGAAGGTCTGACTTTTGATGCTCCTAATGGTCCTCTTTTTTGGTCTTAAAAATATATGAATCATTAACAGCCTTCTTTCCAATTTGCTCAATTATCATTTGAAAATAGGGTGACTGGACAGCAGTATTCCTCATTTTAGTTGTAGAACAGGTGTGAAAAACACAAGAATGCTCACTTAGAGCCAAAATGACTTGGATCCTACAAGTTCAGTTTTCACTTTTTTGTATCTACCATGCCACTTGCAGGTTGTGGAGACAGCTACTTCTTTGAAAAACCAAAGGTTGTAAACCTTTGGATACATGTAAAGAGTTAAAGGGTTCGCCTTCCTCCCCATCCAGTTTAGTCATTGTCTGGGTCGCTTGATGGTGAACTCAGTTTCTAATACTCTATCAACAATTGCATGTACAGTATTTGCTTATACTTACCCAAATTTTTAATAAGTATATGTGTATGTAAATTGGGTGTGGTCCTCCAGATCTGGCATGTTGATAGTGTACTCCTAGTGCAAAGTTTACACGGGACCACCTGCACTAAAATCTTACTTCAGTATTCAGTAAGAAATCTTCTGAACTCTTCCTCCCCCAACAGTGTCCCAGTGTCTTTCAAACTATGGTCCCTGGAGCATCAGTGATCCACACAAACTTTCTACTTAGTTCATACAATGGAAATTCTCTGAGTGGAGTTTAGGGAAAAGCGGGTCCATGGCAGGATTTTTGTCTTACAAAATGGCCTGAAACTTAAAATATGAACAACTGCCATAGATTAGTCAATAAACTCTTCAGGGCTCTGACAGGAATGGTAACTTCACACATCAGAACCGTGGTCTTTTACATGAAATTACTACAATACAAGCAGGGATGGGAGCTGAAGATGCATCTGAAATGGTGACTTTGGTCTGCTTTGATTAAGTCTAGACTAAAAATAAATCAAGTGGTGTGTTTTTTTTTTTTTTTTTTTTTTTTTTTTATGCTATCCAGGTCTAGATACGTATACAACTGGAGCACAGCTACAAAGCTGAAACACCTCTCTGTTATCAGGAAATTGGGTCATGTTTCAGAACAATGCTAAGTGATGTTCTATGTTAGCAGGTTACTCTGCTGTCTGATTTGGGAACTGCAACAAAACTGCATGTTCTGAGCCTGTGGATTGGCAGCCAGCACTGGCAGATCTAGTTTTGGACACTAAATTGTATCAATACCTAAAATGTAATAAGGCTGCAGACATGCTATTTAGGAAGCAGGGCTTTTATCAGTATTCACATGGAATTGTATGTCTGACTGAAGTAAGGAGTAACATTCCTACCAGGGCTAAGTTCCTGCTGAAGTCAATGGAATCTTTGCCTGACGTAGGGAGGAGTAAGCAGCCCAGAAAGGGGAATTTTTTTCATCATACTTCTGGTATGAAATGCTGACTCCAGACAACTGGAATTATGTGACAATTCTGTACCAACTGCTCTCCAGACAGGCAGCGTCTCCCATTGATTTCTGCTAAGCTTTGTAGTAACAGTTCATGGATATATGTGTAGTTCACTCTCCTAAATATTGTACACATGTAATTGTAATTGAGATTGTGGGACATGAAGGAGATTAAAAGAAGACTCCCTCCTGTAAATAAGGGGACAGCTGTTTACACAGCAGAAGTGAAGGCTGGGTGTGCAGTGTGCCAGACCTCTTGGCCTAGCCAGTGTTAACAAACGGACATTTTGTGAAGCCAGTCAACCACTGTGGTCAACAGCAATGATTGAGTATGAGAAACTAGGGATGGGACTTGATTTCATTGGTACCAGGAAGCCCTCATAATCTTTTAGGCCGGAAGGGACCATCATGATCAGCTAGTCCATCCTCCTGCACATCACAGGCCACAGAATCTCACTCATCCACTGTAATAGACCCCTAACCTCTGGCTGAGTGACTGAAATCCTCAAACCATGGGTTAAAGACTTCAAGTTACAGAGAATCCACCATTTACGCAGTTTAAACCTGCAAGTGACCCATGCTACAGAGGAAGGTGGGAAACACCCTCTTCTCCCCGTCCCCCCTTCCTCCCCCCCCCCCCCGGTCTAAGCTCTGCCTGCTGACACTGAGCTTACTCTGCTGTTGGCACAGAGGCCTGGTCTACGGGGCGGGGGGGGAATTGACCTACGATACATCGACTTCAGCTACGAGAATAGCATAGCTGAAGTGGCGTATCTTAGGTCAACTTACCTCGTGTCCTCATGGCGCAGGGTCGACTGCTGCCACTCCCCCGTCAACTCCGCTTCTGCCTCTCGCCATGGTGCACTACAGGAGTCAAAAGCAGAGTGATCGGGGATTGATTTATCGCGTCTACAGTAGACGTGATAAATTGATCCCTGATAGATCGATCACTACCTGCCAATCCGGGGGGTAGTGTAGACGTACCCAGAGGGTGTACAGGATTTGGGAGGGGTGTGGCCAGGGTGATCTGTCCCCATAACTGCCACCAAGTCATGGAAGTCTTGAGTTGCACTAACTAGCAGCTGGGGCCAAACTGCCTCTAGGCAGCTCCAGGGTCAATATAAGCCACAACTTCCTCTCCCATCTTTGCTCTGATTTCTTCACAAGCATAAATTTGACCAGTGCTCACTGCCTTGGGAGACACATATGAACTCCAGCATTGGTCTCATTGGGAATGTTCTTTCCTTAAAGACCTTTGCTTTGGCCCCCCCACCCCTTTTTCAGGTATGGTGTTATCCAACAAAGTGTGAATATGCCCCCTCACCTCAGCAGCTCAAACAACCACTGGGTTTCGAAGTAGTTATTAAAATTGGCCTTCTAAGACTTGTGT